AGCCCCCCCCCCCCCCCGCCCCCCCCCCCCCCCCCCCCCCCCCCCCCCCCCCCCCCCCCCCCCCCAGCAACAGACTTTGATATAAAGCTGAAAATTCCACGGTAGAGCATAAGTACGCTCCACGACGGGAAAGATTACACTTTGATGGATGGACATTCAGAGAATTGAACTCCGGACCTACTGCAGGCATATAGCCGAAACAATGCGAAGCAGTCGTCACACCCCTAGACCAAATGCCCGATACAATTTAAATCATTTACGTAGTATAATGTAAATAATCCATCGCCAGTCTGGGCTGCTCCTGGGCCCGAGAAAACACGCATCGTGACAGGCTTCCTTCGGTTAGATTCTGGCTTCAAGTGGATCATGCTGGTGGACCAATTCGCATGTCTCGCGGATTGGTACGTTGGGCACATGTCAACTGCATTAGAGGTCGATCATCCAAAGAGTCTACAGATTATACACGATGAAAGCTGTATGCTCGATTAAAAGAAAGCCTAAAGAATGAGCATACGCTCCGTTGTATATACGTCATGCTCCACGAAGACCTCATGGAATGCCGGGGAGTTACGCTCGCTGTTTCTGGATCGCACGAAAGCTTCTGGATTGATATACTTCAGATAACCATCCTGCCCGACCAAGTCAAGACCGTGTGAAGCCAAAAATCTTCCGAGGTCGGCGTGACCATGGGCTATCGCCAACTACCTAGGGTGTCAGAAGCCTGAGCAGCAGGCGATTGGGCTGGTGGTTAGCTGTACGCTTAGGGGTTAGTCTATTAACTAGGGGTTGCTATATATACGGTGCTAGAAGCCTCCAGGTATCTGGAAAAGAGGCCAGAGATCAATGCACTTCTATCCCACCAGCTACCTAGCTTCTACCATATTGTAATCCTCCTTCACTCTGCCATCGAACTCTTGACACTAGGCATCAAAAGTGCCCTGCGTGAGACAGTTTGGGTTGGCATACGTAAAGAGGACTCTCCCCTTTGGTGTTATGATCTTGGAATGAGGCTTCTCCGCCACCAATGACTTGCACAGTTGCAGTTATATCTCCACATCTTATGCAGTCGAGAATTGGAGAAAAGTCCGGCTGTATATGATAAGGATTGAGCTTGACTGTCCATCCAGTGGTTCCCTTAAGAACTTTACATTTGAGTAATGTTGTTGGGCAAGCGCCAGGTAGTTGGCGCACATACATCTGGAGGCGATTGTGACAACTTCCATGGACGTCCTTTCGAAGCATCACTTTAAGTCTAGCCCGATTCCTTTTCAAGCTACTTGATTCATGGATTTGCTTGGTATAGCTATCCAGTAAATAGCGAAGTCCTCGTCAGCTCTTTGACAGTAGTCAGTCCAAGGCCAAACGAGCTGAAGTGTAATCGAAGATGAGAAATCTGTGCTCTGTGAACTCTGTCTGTATCTGAAAATAGGAGGTTTCTCTCACCGAATCCATCAACTTGGAATTAAAATAGAAGCAAACATCTTCATGTAGACCGTCCTCGGTTTGCAACACTCACCAAGGGCCTTCGAGACAAGGTTTTAGTTAAGGATACCAATAATAAGAAGCTCCTCCGCGGAAAGCTACCTATCCACAGCGAGAGACATGAGATAGGAGCGAGCCACCCAAAGTGAACTTCAAAAGGTTCCACATACGAGATAGCTTCTGGCCATCCCCAGGGTTGTGTTAAGACCCAAGATTGGATTCTCCACCGGACCTCTTTCATAATGCCAGAGAGATTTCTCTCCTACAGAAAGTATCCGCGAAAAAACTTGTGTATCATGAACTCAGTTTAGGAGGGTAATATAACTAGGTATGTTGTACCACGAAGGGGCTCATCTTTCAATGGGGGCGAGGCCTGTTTGGTGTACAGAGACTGTCTCATGACATTCTTATCATCTTTCTCTGGAGCTAGTCACTATCGAGCAGAGTACGACAAGACTGAAGAGATCTACACACATAACTAAATTCGGGACCATGTTGGTTTACGAAGATGATGCCTCCTTCAGTGACATAGTGCAGACCTGAATGAAATACAGAACGGCTGATCGGGTATTTATAGGAGTGAAGCTCATACTTCTAGGTCTGAGTCGGAAAATAACCGTACAATTCTATATTCGATTTTGTTACCATGATGGACATTGCTGGTATCACTCTGGATCGCTTGTCGCCTGTTCAATGTCCACGAATATTGATGAACCAGATACGGTGAATATGACACCAACTACTAGTTGATCACTGTGTGTATCTAGGAGTTGGTCATCTGATCTCTTTACCTAACCCTAGGCAGGGAAATGCCTTACCGGTGAAGCCAGTGTGCCTAGCGACGTCGCAGAAAAAGCACCTGATCACTACCACAGACAGTTTATGCGTCTCTAATAACATGCTCTCACAAAGTTCTGCTAAGTTCTGTAAAGACTCCATTCAGGTTAGCGGCGTCTGTTCGGCATTCGCTCTCTATTCTGAGGGGCTAACGACTTTAATTCCGAGGAGGCGGGTGCGCGAGCTTGAGCGCAGTCAATGATGCTGGGATTCTCGCGGCCGCGCTGATGGCGAGCTGACAAAGAACCTTCTTTTCTCCAGGCCTCTAGACCGTCATTACAGAGTACATACATTGATGCAGATCATAACAATACACTGCAAATTAACATGGTAATCATGGGCAAGTACTAAGTAGGTAGGTTTGTGACGGACCATTGCAGCATAGGTACTGCCCCGCTGTTTGCGACCCCCTCGAATGTATGCAGGCTGTGCCTCCAAGTCGGCCGCTAGGTACTTATTAGTAATGCACCAGGTACGAAGATGTATGAATGTACGGTTACTGTAGGCGCTGGCATATAAGCCTGTAGAGCCGGCTCGCCTGGAGTATGACGTTTTCCCTCTACAATTCATCCATCTCTCAGAATGCGTTTCGCAGAATTGACTGCCATCGGCTGCTGGGCCAGCATCGGGGCATGCGAATCCGTGCTGCTCTCAGGCGGGACCATCATTGCTTTCGTCGACGATACTCAAGCCCTAGATGTGATTCGAAATGGTGCACTATTGCTTACTGATGATCGAGTCGCTGGTATCTATCATGACGTGAAGCCAGCCGGCCTGCCGTCGGACACAGAAATCGTCGACTGCACTAATAAGATCATTTCTCCAGGGTTCATAGATACTCACCGCCACGGCTGGCAAACAGCCATGAGAACCGTGGCATCCAACACAACCTTGGCAGAATACCTTGCCCGTTACGCAGGTCAACACGCAGCAGCTATATACACACCCGAAGATATCTATCTTGGACAGCTCGCAGGTTTGCTTGAGGCCCTCAACGCTGGGGTCACGACCACGCTAGACCACGCTCATCAGTAAGTGCTTTAGTTTTACCCATATCCAGTCTCACGCGTATGGGTATCCTTAAAGCTGAAAGCGGTGGAAGAAGAACTGACCCTGGTACTCACATAGCATCTGGTCCAAAGATCACGCGAAGGCGGGACTCGATGCTTCAATCGAAAGTGGTGCCCGTGTGTATTGGAATCATGCCTTCGGCACTTTCTCCGGCTACTCCATTCAAGATCAAATTACCGACTTCAAGTCTTGGAGAAAGGCTGCCACAAATACTCTCACAACTGTCGCTGCTGCATTTGATATGTGGAAAGCGGAGACGACCAAAGACGTACAGGCCGTGATCGATATTATAAAGTGAGACTTCGCTCTTCGTCATAATTTAGACAGTAATTGACTGGCATCTAGGAAGTTGAGCATACCAGTCCTCACTACGCATTGGCTAGGCAGCGTTTGGTTATGTAGGTGTTGTCTGCAACGCATCCAACCCAACCTCACTCAGACTTGTCACTTTGCTTATCTGAAGAATAGTCGATAACTCACCGGAGCTGCTTCACTCTTGGGACATTCTCAATACTAGTACTGCCGTGGTATTTTCTCATGGCACATCCATAAATCCGGGTGCCGCCCTACTCCTTCGACAGACTAACCAATTCATCTCCATCACGCCCGAATCTGAAATGGCCTATGGGCACTCGCACTTCGACAATCACCACGTACAAGACCAATCTGCCTTGGGCGTAGATACTCACTTCATCTTTTCGACCGACATGGTCACGCAGGCGCGCATCTGGCTCCAACGCACACGATCTCGTCTATTTGACGAGGTCATCAAGCGGTGGGAGATCCCCATCAATAATCCCATGTCGGTGAACCAGGCTTTCCTGTTGGCAACGCGGAACGGAGCGTTAGCGTTGCGACGACCCGATCTGGGTGTCTTGCAAGTAGGCGCAAAGGCTGATTTGGTTGTTTTTGACGGGCGTTCGCCGGGGATGCTGGGCTGGGATGATCCCGTTGCTGCCATCATCCTGCACTCCAACGTTGGTGATATCGAGCATGTCATGGTGGATGGCAAGTTCAGGAAGCGCAATGGAAAGCTGGTATTTGATGACTACGATTCGGTAGTTGATCGATTCCTCGCTAGCACCAAGAGGATCCAAAAGGGGATACGACAGCAACCCAAACCTGCATTGGAAGGAAATTGGCTAGGAGTTGGCTGCCCATACGGGCATGCCGCTCAAGTGAATGCCCATCCCGGGTCTTCATCCGGCACGGGTTATGGAGCGCAGTTTTTGTAAGTCACTGAAAGTCATCAAGGCTTGGCACCGACCTAACCGACTGACTTGTGACAGGGGAGGTTCGAAGGAAACTAGTCGTCATGACGAGCTCTGATAACAGATTGCCTATGATGGCCCTCACTGACCGAACCGACACTAAAATGTTTATTGATGACACGATGAATATGCTTTCTTGATCGTATCATAAGACTGGTCTCTGACAGGGGTTCATGTATACTAGCATATGTGACGCCCACACTCCAATCGACTAATCTACATTTCCCCATTTCCCGACTCTTCCGAAACGTGCGAAAAGTCGCTATCCGCGGTATTTTGGGCCTCGACACAATCCTCGGTCCGCGTTGGAACTGGAGACCGTACCGGATAGGGTCCAAGCTACCCCACGATTGGAAAGTCTTCTGTCGCAAAGTCTATTCTCGAGGGTGTCTGCGCTGCCGATGCCGCCGGAGCTTGAGCATCTGAGTTGTATCGACGGCGAGGCGTGGTCAAGCATTTTGCCCTATTTCTCGTGGGCGTTCCCGGTCTCCGCGGAGTCTCTGGTATATGCAACATACCGGTACGGGGTGTACGAGGCGAGTGCGGGCGAAGTGTACACTGCAATCTGTGAATTTCAC